CAGGCGCCGGACGTGATCGCAGCTCCGGCAGCCGCCAAGCAGGCCCCGAATCTCGAACTGGATCTCAAGCCGTCGGCGGCAGGGTGTGGATTCAGTTCCGGAGCTGTGCCCGTGCCCGTCAAGAAGGGCAACAAGTTCACCGACGGCCTGGATCTCTCGATGACAACGGACTGGGCGGCGGAGTTAAGGCCCAGCATGCGGAAGCTTCGCCACGCCATGGATCGTCTCCTGAAGACCGCCCGGCTGATGCACTCGGTGCAGCGACTGCAGCAGGACATGCGCTGCAACAGGATCCAGGCGAGCATCATGTACCGCAGAGACGTCTGCTTCTCCCAGGCGGTAAGGATTAATTTGACAAATGTTTGTGTAAATAGATTTAAGATTCAATACCCCAAAACAAAAAAGTCAGGATGTCCTAAATGTGCAAATTTTAAATCAGCAGGGAACTCAAGAATTCGCGTGAAAGTAATAGGGATTTCATAAAAATTTAAGTTTTAAAGAATTTTTTGCCAAGAACTTTGCTTTGTCTTAGGTAAAAAATTATGTGATTACTATTTGTAACTTATTTATATAATTACTGGCTTACTGACTTAAAACTTTTTCAATATCCCAATGTACAAAATTCGTTTATTTTCAGTGTAATAATAAGAATTAGAGATAGGTTTTCAATAGGTTTTCCCAGATAACCATCTTGTAAAAAGTAATATTCTTATAATTCTGAGCAATCTTCAGTGGGAAACCTATTTTGTAATATTGAAAGTCTCACACCGCTCTCCTTGCTATTTTCAGCTAACCGCTCTGGTCAGCTCCCTGATGCTCCGTCTGTGGGGCAGCGAGCTGGACATGGGCTATCTGGTGATGCTCCGTGACCTGGGTCCACTGGCCTACTTTGAGGGACTGCTAACGCTGTACGGGAACGAGGCGGACATGTGGAGCGACATGTGCATCGCCATCGAGGACCTGTCCGCAGTCAGTTTTCAGCTGGTGCGTGCCCAGGGTGATGCAGCTCTGGCGCCCATGCCCCGGATAACCGGATCGCGGCAGGCACTGGAGGTGCAGCTCCCAGTGCCGGAACACTCGCTGCCCGGCAATGGCACCTCCATCTCGTTCAAGATCACGCCCGTCTTCTTCAACATCGGCATCAATGAGAAGGCCAGCTTCGCCGAGACCCTGGGTCAGACGAAAGAGCAGCATCGGTCCAACTGGGACAACTATCTGCGTTTGAGCCAGTACTTTGGTCGGTATCGGAAGCTGGGACTCGGCTCCGTGGACGCCGGCGAGTCGCTGCAGTCGCTCCTCGGCTTCATGGAGCAGCAGCTACGGGCCAATGTCTCCAAGAACGTCAAGATTCTGCACCTGGCCGAGGACGCCTGCCGGCTGATGGACGGCCTGCGGTTCACCTCCTGCAAGAGCGCCAAGGACCGGACCGGAATGGCGGTGACCCTGGAGCAGTGTCGCGTCCTGGTGCGCGAGTTCCAGTTGCCGGCCAAGCATGTGCCCTACGCACTCAGCACCATGCGGAGGTGAGATTGGGAATGGGATTAGACTTATCCTTTTCTTTTATTTCAATGTATTAAACCCTCGATGAAACCAGGTTTTGAAACCAGCAGGGGACTAAAGAATTCGCGTGACAATAATAAGGTTCACATAAAATGTATACCTATAGAAAAATAGGTTTCAAGACGATTCCTTTTCCTCTAAAATCCTTACAAAAATTGAGAAAATTGGTCAAAAAACAAATTTTCCCTAAAGTGATGGGGATCGTTAGCATTTTTAGCAAGCTGCTCAAAACAGTCGGTCTTTTAGCTGTACGCCTTGATTTGGCTGAACTACGATGGAAAATCCGAAAAAAAATGTCGCATTTTTGACAAAAACCTGAATTTGTATTTTTGACAAAAATTTGAACCCTTTTTCGCCATAAAAATGCAGTTTTTTGGCTGCCACAACAAAAATATAAGTCAGAATGAGGAATGTCATACCTCGTTGAGCTCGTTGTTTAATTTCCAATCGATTGGCATTCTAACCTGAAAATTTTTCATTTTTTGCCATTTTTCGAAAAATGTGATGAAACCCCTGCAAAAAATGAAAAAATTGGTCAAAAAATAAATTTTCGTAAAAATGATGAGGATCGTTAGCATATTAAGCAAGCTGCTCAAAACAGTCAGTCTTTTAGCTGTACGCCTTGATTTGGCTGAGCTACGATGTAAAAACCGAAAAAAAATGTCGCATTTTTGACAAAAATCTGAATTTTGTATTTTTGACAATTTATTTTGACTTAATTTAAAACGATGTAAACCATATAACAATGTATCCCATTCTTTCATTCCAGTGAGGGCACGCGGATGGACAACGTACTCAAGAATATTGGGAAGCGAAAGTATGCCTTCAATCGAACTCAGGTCTCTTTTCTGCCGGCCATGTACAGGCCGCCAGTTGGCAGCTACGGCAAGGCGCAGACTTAAGGATCCACTGGGGATCCCCTTCCGAATGTCCAACTGAAGTACTTAATGAACAGACACAAGCTGGACAACTTAACAACGATACATATTATGCATGTATCAGCAGAGGAAAACAAAACAAAACGTATAAAACAGTGCCAAAAATACATACAAAAACAATTTAACCAATTTTGTGCGAGGCAAGCAAAAAACAAGCGAATAGGTAACTAATTAAATTAGCACATTAAAGGAGAATCTTCCGGACAATTGTTAAAGCATCACACGATTCCATAGTACGTCCCCTTCCCATATTTATTTAGGCTATATCCAAGTAGTTGTAGTTTGCAGATGAGGCAACCGTGTACTTTAGCGACTCATGTACTTCCAGTGAATAAAAAACGAACTTGTTAACCACTATTACACACACAAACTTAACAGCATTCGGTATCCCCTAATAGTCCTGCACCCGTCCGGTGCCCAGACGCTGCTTCCGGATCTCGGTCTTCAGCCACGAGGGTACATCGCGTATGGGATGGGCATTGGGGAAGCGCAGAGGCTGCTCTGGTCCCTCGAAAGGATGTGTTTTGGCCAGCTTGCGCTCCAGGTATTCCTTGTTGACCTGCTTCTGGTCGCGGTGCTTGTCCATGTACAGATTGAAGGGTTGCTTCAGCGGGAAGAACTTCTGGTCGGCCAGGTATGGCTTCGGGAAGTCGTACTCATAGACGGGCTCCTTGCGTTCTGCATAATGGATGCAAAATATAAGTATAAGATCCTCTTGATGCATCACATTCCAACTCACTCAAGACATCGTGGTAGAACTGCGTCAACGACTCATCCCAGTTGGTCTGATAGAAGGCCAGGCCAGCGGGCGTGAGTTGCTCCTGGTGCTGGCGATAGAAGTCCAGGGTGCTGAAGGTGCGCTTCTCCAGGTTGCTGTAGTCGCCAGTGGCCAGCTGATAGGAGCCGAGATCCAGACGCGCCTGCTGCTTGTAGAGCACAAAGACCATGCGCTGGTAGCCCAAGCCGCGTGGCGGGAACGGTGGCAGATACTCGGCTAGCACTTGACCATCGCTCACCTTGCCATTGGGTATGTTGGCACTGCAAAAAAGGGAAAGAAATCAGGATCCAGAAGTCATCATAGCAGCGTACTAATCTTACATGAACCAATGCAGGCACTCGGCCTTGCCATTTGTATAGTGCGCATCGGGATTGCTAGCCACCAGAGTCCAGAAAGTGTCCTGGCCGGCGGGTTGACCCGTAATGGGATCCAGCTGGCCCTCGAAGCTTATCTGCGGAGCCTTGGCCGCCTCCGCCGGCTTGATCACGTTGCCATTGTAGACGGGGGCCAGGCTGTCGCCTTCCAGTTGGTAGTTTATGCTGAGCGGCACGCGGGGCACAAAGTAGGCGCTGCCGAAGAGATGCTCAAAGATGCCGTAGTGATCGGCCAGCAGGCGGAGATCGTGCTGCCCGGTGGTCTTGACATAGGTGCGCTGCACCTGCTCCAGGTCGATGATCACTAGGGAAGGATTGAAGATGGAGGAACACAGTGAGCAGCTGTCGTCCCTGATTCTCCGCATAGCTACTCACGCTTGTTGCTGCGCGCCAGCTGCTCCAATTGCTTGCTGGTCCGCTGGGCCTTCAGGTGCTCCAGCCGCTTCTTCAGCTGTGCCGAGCGCGACTCCTTCAGCTGCGGAAAGCCAATGTTGATGCGGGCCACCACCTCCGGATCCGTGGCCGTCTCCTCTGCGGGCAAAAGCCGGTAAAAAGGTGATCCAAAGTGGTTACATCAACCTACCTCGCACCCGCTGTTCCAGGGAACGGGCCACGCCAGGCGCCTTGCCACGGATGGTGTGCCCTTGCCGGGTGGCGGCCACCAGGACGCCGGCCTGGGCACCACGCACGCCCGGATTCAGGCCGGTTTTCATTAACAAATTACTGAACGACATGGTGTTTTGTAATTTGCTCCGCGTTTTTATTTTTTTTGCCTTTTTCAGGGCTGCCAGACCAACGACGGAGTGCTGCCAGACCCCCAGTCAGCTGCTATCTATCGATTACCACTCAATGAGCTTTTAACGGAAAGTGACAAATAAATCGTTTTTGAAAAAGGTATTCAAAACTATATAGATGAAAAATTAAAAAAGGCTAAACAAAATTAAAAAATTTTAAAAGCAAACTCATTTTGCTCCATAAATTTTAGTCATGTTTTTTTTTAATGCAATTCTACAGCCTATATATACTTCTAGAATTTATCTATGTACTATCTATTGTAAGGTACAATCAGCTTGGCATATCATTATTATAATTAGTTGTAGTTTAGTTGTATAAAGAAAATTTGAGACTAAAATCTAAGCATTATATGATATGAGTATAAGGGATTTGAAACCCAGTCCAGTGATATCATAATTAAGATGTTTAAAAGCTTAGGCACATTTCGGAAATGAAGATGTTTTTTCTCATAAAGAAGGAGATCTGTGTGGAAAAAGGACAAAAAGGCAGCACTGATGTTATCTAATCCGATGATCGATCGATAGACATGACATTTTCGAGCCGAGCTTTCTAACGGTCCCCAAGTAACGGTTTGCTTCCACTGCAGTTGGGAAACGTGCGTCCACCGAAGTGAATTAAAATGCAGGTGATGCACAGCTGGATCCTGATGCTGCTGGCCGGATTCCCGGCAGCTGGCCGGGCGGAGGACCTGCTGGAGCTGTCCTGCAGCTCGGACGCACAGTGCGCCCAGTTCGAGCGGGCTCGGTGTGTGGATATGGCCTGCATCTGCACAGCACGTGGCTCCGGGCAACGGGTGCCCTGTGAGCCACTGGAGGAGAAGCTGACCAACATCGTGGGCGGCCCCTGTCCCTGCCTCATGCCCAACGCCCTCTGCCATACCAAGTGGGAGCAGTGCCTCTGCTCCGAGGGCCATGTGCCCAGCGAGGACCGGAGGCGCTGCCTGCCGCAGGTGGTCCCGCTGGGCGGCGCCTGTGAGTTCCCGCGGCAGTGCCAGTTGGCGGATCGCTTCAGCACCTGCTCCGGTGGCCTGTGCCTCTGCCCCACCCACTTTGAGCTCCACGAGGGACACTGTCTGGCTGTATTGCGTGAGTACACTGAGAGAAATCACCTGGGAACCCTACTCAATTAATAGGAGAACTAAGTTCTCAGGAAAATTTTATATAATATATGTTTTTTTCATATCCCGACCAAAAAACTTGAAGATTATTTATATATATTCTTTTATATCCTGACCGAAAAACTTTAAAGTTAATTTATATATTTTTTATATCCCGACTAAATTACTTGAAAGTACATTTAAAGTCATCTTCTTTAATACATTGTAACGATATTATTATTAAAAATTCCCTGAAGCAGATGACTCATCTAGAGTCATGAGTCTAATTTAACCCATCTACAAATTATCAATCTAAGGCCAAGGTTATAGAAATTGCAAAGGTATAGATAAGAAATAGAGCGTTCACTGCGAGAATCTTATGTACATTAAAAAATGAGAAACTTAATTGTTCAAATAACTAATAGAAACTTACTTTATTCCTAATCGCTCTATAATATTGGATTTTAATTTCAGAAATTTCTACTTTTTCAAGAAATACCCAATGAATTCCAACACTAATCTACAATTAGAAATATAATAATATTTTTATACCCGTTACTCGTAGAGTAAAAGGGTATACTAGATTCGTCGGAAAGTATGTAACAGGCAGAAGGAAGCGTTTCCGACCCCACAAAGTATATATATTCTTGATCAGGATCACTAGCCGAGTCGATCTAGCCATGTCCGTCTGTCCGTCTGTCCGTCTGTCCGTCTGTCCGTATGAACGCTGAGATCTCGGAAACTATGAGAGTTACAATACTGGGATTAGGCACGCAGATTCCTGAGATTCCTGCGCAGCGCAAGTTTGTTTCAGCACAGTGCCACGCCCACTCTAACGCCCACAAACCGCCCAAAACTGTGGCTCCTACAGTTTTGATGCTAGAATAAAAATTTTAACTGAAATGTATTGTTCTCATCAATACCTATCGATTGACCCAAAAAAAAGTTTGCCACGCCCACTTTAACGCCCACAAACCGCGAAAACCTGTGACGCCCACAATTTTCATGCTAGATAAAAAATTTTAACTGAAATGTATTGGTCTCGTCGATACCTATCGATTGATCCAAAAAAAAATTTGCCACGCCCACTCTAACGCCCATAACGCTTAAATCTGTATACCGCCGGTAGGTGGCGCATTTTAATCTCGCTTTGCTGCTTGCATATCTCCATATAGCTGAGTAACGGGTATCTGATAGTCGAGGTACTCGACTATAGCGTTCTTCCTTGTTTTTAGTTTAAGTAACTTAAAAAAAAAGTATTCCGTAATTTTTTTTGATATAGGGGTCTCTTACTTCAGCAGATATTGCCATTAATAACCCTTAAGTTAGTGTTATTCCAATTAAGATCATTCAAAATAATAAAGATAAAGCAATTATTCCCCATATATAAAGTTTATCTAGCTCAAAACAATATTTTTTGAGATGCTTTTTTGTTTGTAAATGTTTTTTTTTCTGTAATTTAAATTTATCCATCTCCCTATCTCCGCAGAATCCAGATGCACCATGGACAAGCACTGCGGCAGCTGCGGAGCCTCCATTTGCCTGACCGAGTTGGGCAAGTGCGGCTGTGCCGAGAACTTCGTGCACAACCACAATATGACCAAGTGCATCGCGGGATCCGCCTTCGGCGACAGCTGCGAGCACAGTTCACCATGCAAGATCAACCTGGGAGCCGGTGGCCGGTGCCTGGATCACCAGTGCGTCTGCGGACCGCAGTACTACCCCAAAAGGGTAGTCAACGAGGTGTCCAATGAGGTGGAGTACCCCGAGGATATCAGCAATCGGGAGCGGATCTCCTGCGAGCCCATCGTGCCCTTCGGAGCACTCTGTCACCATGACGGCGAGTGCCGGATTAAGCCCATGCAGCAGGCAAATGCCACGTCATCTGCATCCGCACCCGCTCCCATGGTCTGCAAATGGGGCGAGTGCACCTGCAGTTCGACCCATCGACTGGAGGAGAACAAGTGCATCTTTGTGGAGAATGGCGCCATGTATCCTCAACTAACCGGCATTTTAGCCCTTATTTGTCTTCAGTTTATAATGATTCTTTATTAGGATATATGTATAGCAAAAAAAACTTGTTGAACCTAAATGAATAGAACGAACGAAAGAACGAACGTTTTACACAGATGAATTCTGGCCGGGATCAGCCAGCTGCTCAAAGGCCAATCCTGGCCGGCGTGCGACGAGGCGTGGCATTGCCGGGGGTGGCGATCTCCTGCTTGGCAGCCAACTGCTCCTCCCGCTCGGCCGCCTGCTGCTTGCGCTCCTCCATCTCGTGCTGGGCCTTCAGCATCTGCTCTTCCATCTCCTTCAGGTGCTCCGCCGCCTGTTTCTTCTTCTCCCGCCCACTGCGACCCGACTCCTTGACGGAGAAGAACATGGGACCCAGCTCGGCCAACCAATAACCATCGACGGCGGTGGCGCACTGCATATACTCCTTGGCGGTCATGATCAGTTCGTGGTAGACCACATAATCGGGCGTGGTGCCCAGTCCGTACAGCGCGGATGTGGGATGCAAATGGCAGGGCATGCCCGTGCGCAGATTCACATACTCCCCGATGCCCTTGAGCCTGGCCGCTTGGTAGAAGTAAGCCGAGCAGATGCACTTGCGCACAATGTCCCAGTCGGTGCCGCAGCTCTTCACGTTCAGGTTCTGCTGCGTCATGATGTCCTTCAGCTGCTGCCGCACCTCGCGCACCTTCCGCATCGCCTTGATGTGGATGAAGTGCTCGTTGCACCACGACGAGCTGTAGCTGTGGGTGGTTAAGGAGAAGAAGAAAGGATTAGTAAGGCTTATTTCTAGCGTGGATTTTGACTTACTTGTTCTGGCGCCACTGCTGATAGACATTGAGGTAGGTCAAATGGTCCGACTCGGGCACTTGGAACTTCTCGCGTACTCCATCCGCCTCCTCCTCACGTCCCTTGGGTCGATAGAAAATCGAGGGCACGGACAACATGGAAACTATAGGGGAATGGGTAACATATATAGTTTGCTTTTATAATTAACCCCCTTTAACCTAGACGCCATACCTATAATCAGCACCTCGGCACTGCAGCCGATGCGACAGGCCACGATGAGCATCTGGCACTGGGGCGGATCCAGTGGGAACTCGGCCATCTGGCGGCCCAGCGTGGTCAGGGCCCCTGTGTGGTCGAGAGCTCCCAGGATCCACAGCTGGTACAGTGAGTTGAGGATGTTGTCCTGGGGCGGTGGATCCATGAAGTGGAACTGCAGGAGATCGACGACGCCCAGCGACTTGAGCAGCAGCACCGTGTTGGCCAGATTGGTGCGCTGAATCTCCGGCACGGTGAGGGCCAGCAGCTCATCCTTGTACTGGCGCTGCGTGTACAGCCGGAATGCCTGACCGGGTCCTGTGCGTCCGGCTCGACCGCTCCGCTGGTTGGCATTGGCCTGCGAAATGGGATAGATCTGCAGGGCGTCCATGCCGATGCGCGGATTGTAGACCTTCAGCTTGCAGTAGCCGGAATCAATGACGTAGATGATGCCATCGACGGTCAGCGAGGTCTCCGCTATATTCGTGGCCACCACACACTTGCGCACCCCATCGCCGGACTTCTGGAAGATCTTGGCCTGCAGATCCGAAGGCAGTTGGGAGTAAATGGGCAGGATACTCAGCACTGGAGCATTTTCGATTTCCGCCAGCCGCTCCTCGAGCACCTCGCACGTCACCTCGATGTCCTCCTGACCGGGCATGAAGATCAACATGTCGCCCTCATTGGGCGTCAGGTGGACCTGCAGCGCCTGCTTCACCGCCGACTCCACGTAATCCTCGCAGGTGTTCTTGCTGAACATCACGTCCACGGGGAAGGTGCGTCCCGGTATGGTGAACGTGGGCACGTTGCCGAAGAAGGTGGCAAACTTGGTCGAGTCCATCGTGGCGGAGGTCACGATCAGCTTCAGGTCATGTCGTCGGGCAACAATCTAAAAAAAAAAAGGTTGCCTTCGGTTAGTCATGCGCTATTAAGGGGATATTAAAGACCCTTCCCAAAATTAAGGTTTATCTTGATTCTTATAAAACGTATAAATAGATTGTATATCGGATTATAATTTTTTGAAAATTGCAAATAAGATTTTTTAAATGTTCATACATAATACTTAATATAACCAATATTTTTGTATTATTAATTAAAACATTTAATAAATTAATTATATTATAAATTTTATGAAAAAAATCCGAAATAAAACGTATTTATCCATTTTAAGTTATATGTATAGTGAAAATAAAACTAGTTATTAACATTTTTATAACGAAAACTTAAAAAAAAATAATCTAAATTTATTTTAAGCCAATTGTTGAATTATAAACATCTTAAAACATTCGTGATCTGTCAAATTTATCATATAATAGGTGTTAGAAAACAGATCACGTTCCCTTCCAAGCCCTAACAAGTTCCTGGTAGTTTGGTAGAAAAATCTTAAGTTAAGGATTTTCTTATCCCGTACTTTCTTATTTTTAAGTTTAAGGGCCCACTTTTTTAGAGTAAAACATAACTGAGGGAGGGGATTAATGACTTTTGCTCGGCATGGGACTCTTTTGATGGAGCAACGGGGGTCTTGAAAGGCGGCTAACGGTTACAAATGTGACCCACATCCCGTCCAGCTGTGTTCTGCAGTCGTTGACCCTGCAGTGGGTCAAGGCGTCTCAGTGACTAGGTGTCCTTAAAACTGCATAAAGTTCGACTAAAAGATATCCTATGATTTATTATACCATGAAGATAGGGGAGGCAAAAGAAATATCTTAACACTGGTCATAATAGCTGTGTATATATATGGAATAAGAATTGGTTTTAGAAAAATATGTGGATAAAACTTGACTACAAAAAGGAAACGACATCTTTAGAGATCTCACGATATCAGTTGTTCAAGGATAAAAAAATATTGTAGTTTTTTAAAGAGTGTTTAAAAACAACATCTCCCCCGACTTTACAAGTACTGGGTAAGAAATCCCTGTTCTCGCAATTTCGTATCGCGAGTCCTGCCTCCACAACTAAAAATTCACCACTCACAAAGGATGGGTGAGAAAAAGAGAGACTTCGGGCTGATAAACTTCGGGTTCATCTCGGCTCGTGGTGTATTTTGTTTTTTATGGGTTGGGGAATACGCTTTCAGGGGCGGTAAGATGGGATGAGGTGAATTCGAGGCGGACGTGACAACACACACGTAGGCGCTTTTAAAGAAATATTCAAGAAACCCAAGCGAATCAGTTGAAAGCTGAGCTATAATAATGAGGGAGCAATAATGATATTTAATTATATGACATCTGAGTTAAAATTTATAATATATTTTTTAAAGAATAGCTATTATTTTAATTTGAACTATACTTGATAAGGGGTATTTTCCTTGGGATATTAGTTTAAATAGACCTGTTTGTAGAAATAACAAAGGTGGGAATGGAGTATGCGAAAGGTTATCGCCCTTAGGCATAAATTAACATCCAGAAAATCTTTATTGTGGGATTACCACCTAAGACCAGCAATAATATGTCCACACAAACCCAACCGTTTCGGAATCAGAAGATATTACCTCATCCTATATCTATATCCAATTGCGTTTGCAATCCAATCTGAAATCAAATTCCATGCAAGCTGGTGCCAAGCAAACTGCGCACTAGAAGAACTTTCGCATTGCCCGCCTTGTCCAAGCACCCACCACCCACAGGTCCACATTTTACAACCCACTCGTAATGCGGTTTATTATGCAGCTTATCTACTTGCATATGATTCGCGTACATATGTATGCACAAATACGAGGTGGTTTATTTATGATGCTGCCGGATGGGGGCTATAGAAGGGGTATACGGAGAGAAGTTAATGGTAAAAGTAACAGACTAACGCAATCGTGCATCGGTTTCACTATCTCACTATCTCAGCAGATGACGTCAGGTGGGCGTTTACGGTCATTACGATAGCCAGTGCGATAACCGATAAACATACAATGCATACATGCATGCTTATCGCTTATTTGGCAATATAGGCGAAATTCTTCAAAAGATATTGCACGGATATAAATCATCATAGTATAATCTCAATCGCAATACCATAATGAGGAATACAAACATACCACCGATATTGATAAAGAAACTTGAAAGGGAATCGTATTGATATCATAAAATATTCCTATAGAATTTGCTACGTATGATCAACATAATACTAGTATCATGATAATAAATGAAATCAGATACATGTTTTACAGAGTTTTAAGTATTATATTGTTTTACGGGGGTTACCAGTTTTATACCTTGCTAAAAGGTTTCTTGTTCTTTTGAAAGATAACGAATACCTCTTACAAGGCCATTTAACTGCACTTCTATTTTCACGAATTCCACTATCTAAAAGTCCTTATTTCCGGACGACGCCGTTTAATTGTCTTTTATCTCACTTCCCAATCACTATCTCAAGGTCGCTGATTAAAGTAACGTCTCTGTGGTCATGTGTTTTACGAACCCACCCGCTAATCAGGTCTGAATTCGTATATTACACATTGTAAAATATTCAACCAGGTTAAACTATATATACTTTCGTATTAATATGCGATTTAGGCCAGCTGATAGGAGTGCAAATAATATAAAAATGCACGTACACCGAGGGAACTTTCCGTTTCTTTTGAGTTATAGTACCAGATGATCTAGGGGGGTTACGGCTCATTTGCCCGGGACTTAGGCATTATTTCATCTGTCGCATCAGCCGTGACTAACCATTCCGCACTGACTAAGATCACGAGCTTTATACTATATATCTGCATGAGTGGAACATTGTACTCGTAGACCAACTGATATTGGGGACTAATTCGATCGAAGTCGTAAAATAATATCAGCTAGAGCGCCACCTACATTTGTGGGCATTAGTGTGGGTTCGACAGTTTTAGATCCCGATAAGACCACTCAGGTTTAGGTTTCTTGGGTTTCTATTAAAATAATCGAATAGAGTGCACTTTTTCTTTCCAACTAGGTGCAGGGTTATCAATCACATGGGTAAACAAAACCCGCAATTTCATATCTTGTATTCATATGCCTCATTTGCACATGATCTTATTATAGAAACAGGAAGCTGGCGAGAGAACGAAATATAATTCGAGCAGATAATGCCCTTAAAT